CACTTTACTAATGTTCCTTTTAGATTTGCATTGGTGATATACCAGATGACTTTCTTTTTTTCATCCAAACATTGTCCACTATTTGAATAACCTTTATTTTAGATTGCAAGGAAAATTTTCTTTAAAATAAAGTAGTTTTTCGCACTCGAGAGCTTTCCTAAACCATGCTTGCGTGACCGTAGATGATATCATCGGAGAGCATGCCAATATTGAAAAATCAAGAGGTTTATCACATGCCTTCCTTAGACAACATTTTGCTAAAACTGAACTATCACGTCAGAGAAAAGAACACATTTGAAGTTAATCTTCCAAATATAGAACCTTTTTGTGCATATTATTTGTTTAATCCTGGTGGCAATCTCAGTTCTATGCAACAAGGATTTGAAGAATAGTTTCAAAATCTTAAGTGGGAGGTAACACTCTTCGAATACTTTCAAAACAATCTCTTTTCAGCGTGACATTAACTTACATACCACCTAATTCCTATGCATTTACATATCTAACACAAAAACTTCTTATATTTATACTGCCTAAATTTTTCATATCATACAAAAAATATCATTACTGTTTAACTCTGAAAAAGTGAATACTTTTTGTTGCATCTTTAAGGTGACAGATATGTAAATGTTGTTGTTTAGGTATTAGTTAGATATGCAGATACATAAGAATTAAATGGTATGTATATAAATATTTTTTGTATTTATGTTAAAATAATTTGTTTTTTTTTCTATTTGGTGCCACAAGCAGTTTTTTGTTCTTATATAGGGCAAAACAGGAAATGCTCCAACAATTGAGGAATTATTATTAGCTTTACAAAATCATGACCAATTCTTGTATTTTTGCATGGAAGTGATAAGTTTGTCTTAATCTGATTAATATTCCATAATTGTGCTGCAGTTATTTAATAGTTTCGAAGCACCTAATTTCTGTGCATTACATATTGAACACCTAATTCATACTACCCAGATCATTCATATCACATAAAAATTACAGTTATTTTAGCTTTTAAAAAGTAAAATACATATTTTCTTGCATAGATAATAAGGTGGCATGAATAAAAGTTGAAGTTTAGGCGTTAGATATGTAAATACATAATAATCGAGTCTTATCTATGTAATTTTTTTTTTCACCACATTTACCTACATAGTACCAAATTTATACCAATCACCTCTTTCACATCTCATAAAAAAATACCACTATTTTAACTTTTAAAAAGTGAAATATACATTTTCAATCACAATTAAGGTGACATGCATGTTAAAGATAGTTGATAGATATATGACTTCATAGGGAATTGAGTGGTATGTATGTAAATCTCTCTTTCTCTTTTTATGCCACAGGAATGCAATATATAGGCGAAGAGTCCTTTAGAAAACTCAGTAGCTTTGTTGCTGCATTCTTGATGGGTTGTTGTAGTGGATCTCTTAGATAAAAAGGATGCTATGCGACTCAAGGTGCTCCTCTCGAGTACTTATTTGCAGGCTCTCTTGCAATTATTGCAAATTTATGGGACGTAACTGATACAAAAATCACCCTTTTCACGAAGGTCATACTCAACTCATGGACTTAGAACTCAATCCTTCATAAGTACAACAAATGCATCAGTTTGGCAGAAAATTTTAATGGTGGAAAATCCAACTTTCCATCAGGAAGAAAAATTTCAAAATTTGCAAATATTGTTAAGAAGAATTGCAGGTTTTGTGAAACCAAACTAAAAATTGCTTCATTATTAGTGAGGCGAGCGGAGCTTGTAAACTTCCTACCATAACATGACCTCAATTGTTTGTCATGGTGTGCCTACAATTTTAAAGAGGAATTAGTGAATTTATAAGAAATTTATTGCAGAAATGCCCCTTTTTTATTTTTGGCCTAAAACTTTCAGTGAAATTTTGGTTTTTGTCAATAACGTTCTAATCTGAGGTGATTATTTGCAATATACTACATTTTTTTGTGTTTCAATTTTAAAAAGTTAGCGATGGTGATACTTTTTTATGTGATGTTAAAGATTTTGAGTGGTATGCATGTTAATATGAATACTTGGGAGTTAGATATGTAAATACATTGTAAATACATAAAGATTGTGTGGTATGCTTATAAATTTCATGCCCCAAATGTTGATTAAGCTACTACAATTTAAGAATTTTTTTTTTATTAATTTCAATTAGGATTAGCTTTCTGGAGGGATTTAGTTGCATGTGGGTACAATTCACCAATGAAATTTTTTAAGGAATTAATTGTGAGTACATTAAACAACTCTTGATTTTCGAGCTTCTGCTGTTATTTTCTGCTAGCATTTCACACTTGCAGCATTTGGAGGTCTGAGTTTCGTTTGATTACTCGAGTTTATAAAATATTTTTTGGAGAATGAGTTAATTAAATGATTGTAGTAATGTTGTGATATCAATTTGTTACTTGCTCGTTGGTTTGTTTGATCAGTTTCAACCACACAGTTTTACAATTTTGGACCGTTCTTTATTTTTTAGGAAAATTTACATATATTTGCATATCTAGCACCTAAACTTTCATATTTGCATTTATAACATTTTGATGTTGATAAATATATGCTAATAATGATGTTATTTTAATATGATCTTAAATATTTGAGTGCTAGATCTTTTATTTTTTTTAATTTTAGTTTTTTATTATGTATGTTCTCTTGAATTGGATCTATTAGGATAATGGAGTCCATACCCCTCAATTTCTGTATATGTACATTATCTATCACACATATTTTTTTTTTTATATTTATACCACAAATCTTGAAATTTAGAGAGTAAAAGATATACAAACCATTCCTGATTCTTATGCATTTACATCATACAACTAAAATTTTATATTTATATACTTAATAAATTTGTGTTTTGAACCGATGCATTTAAAATGTATATTTCAATATTAATATTTTTTGATGTAATATATATATCTGCGCGCGCATGTTTGCAGCTTAGCTGACAAGTTTGTAAACAGCTGCGTTGTCAATTGTATGACCCATTTGACCCACCTTTCTTTTTTTTAAAAAAATATGATTGAAGTAGTATTATAACGAGATAAAATGTTCCAATTTTCAATAATTATAGACGCCAAAATTGGTCTCGCCCAAAAATAGGGGGCAACTGATACCTCATCAACAAATTTTCAATATCCAACATAAATCAAAATGCATGGATCTTGAGGAATTTATTTGAGCAAGATAAGTTCAAACTTTGATTAAAAGTCATCTACAACTCCAATTTCAACATACTTATAGTCAAAATAACTAGCTTGATGAGAAAGACCCTACGTATGAAAATCGGTATAATCCGAGTCAAATCACGCGTAGATCAAGTTGATAAACCACATTTGAAATGTTCCAGCATAATTGGAAGATGAAACAACTTCGAAATCTGGTAAGTTCATTGTCCATCTAATACCGCGAGATCAAGGGGATCTCTTTAGGGCGTTCTATCAAGAGTGGTCTAGATTCATTTCTTATTTGCAACCTAAACTTTGTAAACAGAGCTTTACCCTCTTCATAAGAGAGGCACAAAGCTTGAAGCCCGAAGAAGATTAAAGCTTTGAGAAGGGATGAAGTTTAACATTACTTTTGCACCGACAATCCGACGATTGCCTCTTGCTTCTGCAGCTGTCGATTGTCGCCGACCACCGAAGCTCACCACTCGTTGGCCTCCGCCCACTCCTTGCGACAAAGCGTCATAGAAACAACTTACGAAGCAACACATCATCCTGAATATCATGTCGACCTTGAAAACGATAGCATTAAAGCCCAAACTATTTCTTCTCTTTGTGACGACTCCTTACCGTGGGGCCACAATCCTTCTGCACGCTGATGTTAAAACTTGGGAGGCTATATAATCATTTCTCATATGTGAAACAAGGGGTTGTACCTATATCAGCAATCACCAAATCATGCTGAAATATTTTAATAGGGCAATGCCTTGTTGTTTTTTCTCTTTCAGGGTTTTTCACGTAATATTTTTTGGTGTTTTATGTCTGTCATTTCTATTACCTACGTGGGTTCTCATACAATGATAAGATGTTAATTTATCACACTACTGCCACGAATTTTCTTGTACACACACATGCATATATTAAAAGGGTGTATTAGAAATATCGCTCCCCATATGTAGTAGCTGTCCCCATAGGTATCGAACCCGGGTTAGAGATGTCTTACGACTGACAACACAACTACTTACCAACTTGCCACCCTACACACACACACAGATATATATATATATATATATTTGTGCATGCAAATATAAAAATTTAGGTGTATGAAATGCAAATGCATAAAAATCATGTAAAATATGTTGATCTTCTACTCTCGAAAGCTTTTGTTGTCTCCCGCACGGAAAAAGTTTCTATCCGGACCTGAACGTAGTTCTACGTGCGGACTGCTAGTAATATACCGCAATGTGTGTTATATAAGACCGACCTAAAAAAACTATTAAAGTGAAACCGCGGACTCCGCAATAACCTCCGCGGTTCTACTTCAACAACCTCAAAATAAACCACGAAGGTTATTTTAAGGTTATTTCGGGATTATTAAAGAGAAACTCATATATTCCACTTTAACAACTCCGAAATAACCTCTACGACGTTATTTTGGGTTATTAACGTGGAATCATGAAAATTATTTTAAGATTTTTTCTGGATTATTTCAGGATTATTGAAGTAGAATGGGATTATTGAAGTAGAATATACGATTTCTTCTTCAATAACCAATAAATAACCTCCGCGATTTCACATAACTTCGAAATAACCTCCGTGAGCCGGTATATTATTAGAGTCCTCACGTAGAGCTATGTCCGATTCCAGACAAAAAAAATTTCCTGCACACAACACCAAACATTAAATAAAAAAAATTATATATGTTATAAATATGTAATTACAAGTATGAATGAAATTACTAGCCACTCCATCCAGATAATTTGTAACTATGTGATATTTTCAAATCAAATCAGAGTGAAAAAGCTTCGAAGAGAAACGGAGCTAGTGATCGATCGGAGGGGCGTGGGGATCGTCCCAATCGAGCTAATTTTCAGTTTTAGAATCGCTGTGGCGTGGTTCTTTTCGCAGGGAGGATGACGGAGGCGGCGATAAGAAAGAAGCCGGGGATGGTGAGCGTGCAGGAGATGCCTGTGTTGCAGGACGGTCCGCCGCCGGGTGGGTTTCCGCCGGTGAGGTACGCTCGAAGGATCCCGACCAAGGGACCCGGTGCCGTTGCCATCTTCCTTACTGCCTTCGGCGCCTTTGCATACGGCATGTATCAGGTCGGCCAGGGCAATAAGATCCGAAGGTACAAGACAACCTCCTCTCTTCTTTTCTGCCCACTTCTAGGGTTTGAATTGTCATTCTTTATGATTTATGGGGTTCCACGTTTTTTATTTTTATTTTTGCATAAATTTAAGTTATTTGCTTTCCCGGTAGATGTCAGTTTAACGGCATGTTTTGATCTAATTGTGACTGTTGAATGGCTTTGATTTCATCTTTCTGATTAAGGTATGTATTATAATCTCAAAGATTTAGTCTTGTTTGAAGCTCCTTACCTTTTGAAAAATATAGTTGCCTGTTGCTTGATATAGTTCCAGGGCAGCCCAGTGGTGTAGATTAGACAATTGTTATGTCATTATTCTGCTAATGATATTATAAATAACTTTGTTTGTTGCCAAAAATACGTTGATATTTGGGGGAATAACTTGCATTGCTTCCCTGGAACACTTGTGAGCAAAAGTAGTGCTTGTATTTTCACTTTCCAACAGCTAGATTTTCCATGTTACTGTTCTGTTTCATTTACATACATGCCGCCCAATTTCTATTTATTTACATATCTAACACCTAAACTTTGCTTTTGTACACCCAAATCTTTCATATCACATAAAAAATGCCACCATTTTAACTTTTAAAATGTGAAAAACACCTTTTCGTGCATAGATAAGGTGTTGTTTGTAAAAACTAAAGTTTTGGTGTTCGATATGTAAATTCATAAGAATTGAGCGGTATGTATGTAAACTTTCATTTATTTCTTTCTCTTTTGCGTACTTTTTAAGGGTTTTTATAGATCCAACTTACCTCTCATAAAACATAATATATCACTAGTCTTATCCTAGTTAGTTAGGTTTTGCTTTTATGAATCCTCATGATCTATTCATTCTTGTGTAGTGGTGCATTTCTCTTGCAATCATTCAACTTCCCTATGCATTATTTTGTTTGAGAATTTGCATATTGTATTATTCATCAGATGGATCAGCCTCCTTTTTGAGGCACACCAAACTTTTATTCGTATTTTCTACTATTTGATAAAATTTTCAAACATCTTCTAATGTTTTCTTTTATTTATTTTGATTCCCCTAATTAGTCTTTTACTCAACTTCTTTTGGAATGTATGCATTATCTATGTTAGTGAATGCGAGTCATTGTGGGATCAAAGTTGATTTTGATATACTAGTGGTGAAGTTCTTTTTAAACATAAAAGGTTCAAGCATAATGATGGAGCACTACTTGTATATTTACACAACATACTTTTTAACTATTTAATATGGGATTAAAGCCAATATTATCTTGTGTTTTAAACATACCCCTTTCATGTGAGAGATCTTTGCATCAATCGTAACTCCCACTCAAATGAAATCCTTTCAATATCATCGAGTATCACACACCAAGAGCCTGCTATAAAACCTTGCTCATCTATGGTAAAATTAATCCTAAACACACTATTAGTTTTGATTTTTATTAAAAAAAAATTTAATGCAGAAACACCTACCATGTGTAAATATATTAAGCATACAATAACCACAAAAAATTAGTACCACAAAGTAGAAAACTAGATTTATGTAGTTTGGCTAAAGTAGGTCTATGCTCACATGAGAGAAGGAAAAAGAGGGAGATGGGGCGGGCGATGGCTGAAATGGTTGTGAGGCACGTTGGCAAATCACACAAGTATACATGTCAAGTAATATAAGAATTTGAGAGTCCGCGTATCGATCCCATGAGGAAAAAATTAAAAATTTTATTGACATGGAAGCTCTTGTTTGCTAAATTATTAACCCTAATTTTGACGTGTTCTCAAGTGCAAGAATGAAAATCTACAATCCCACACAACACAGAAAATAAAGCAGACAACGGGCAAGGAAACATTAGGAGTAAAGAGTCTTTAGTGATCTTCAGAGGAAGTGAGGCTCCTGCTTATGTGACTTAGGTGTAATAATTTCTCATTATGCTCCTATGACTTTGTCACACCCCAAATGGCCTCTTCTTTTTAGGGTCAACTAATTTGTGACAGGTGGATAGTTTATCCAGACTAAATACTTGCCAACACTCACCCTGATTTGTAGAATCAGGACTCAATGTATGATGAACTAGTCTAACTAAAGTGCATCAAACATACATGATCCATTGTGTTTCATAATTCATTCATATTCATACTCAGAACTATAGAAAATCATAACATAAAAAGATATAAACTATACAATATTGCAAAATCTAACTTAAATTAAATTAATTACTCTAAAAACTGTACAAGCTCCAAAAATAATAAAAAACTGTACAAATGACATCTGGCTACTCGCACCGATTTTTCTTGCCCCTTACTGAAAGGCAACAACAAATAATGAGCTTAGTGAAATAATTAAGACTAAAGTAAGATTTTATAAACAGAAAAAAATAACATGCATACTCATATGAGTTTGTACATATCTACACACAAGCTACAGCATATTAGCATAGTAAAGAATATGAAAAGACAATATATACTGTAGAAATCAAGACTGCCGTGTAAACATATATGTCATAAACAAGAAATCTTAAGTATAATCAAAGACATGTTCATAAGCTATTTATCGCATGTAATCATAATAAAGTTATTTTATATATGTCATTTCATAGTAATGTCACTTGTAAATGTATGTCTCAAATATTTTCATGTCCTATCATATCATGATTCATCACCTTACCTCAAATGCTATATGAACTATCAATAAATGTTAGACCCCAATATAGCAGTTATCAATAGCCTCCCTAATACGAATGATTTCCTGGGCTCTATCACATCTGATCATAATTGTTTTCAGAGTAACGTCGTCTGAACACGAGAAGTCGGAAATATCACATCCCTGTATAGTGTACTTGCAAGCACTATGTAATAATTTACTCATAATATTCCTTGTGACATCGTTTAAAGCATAACACCTGTAGCAAACATTCATTATATATCACATGTATAAATTATAATATATGAATGCATGCAGATAATTTATATCATAAGCATAGTTATATGTATCATAACATAATAACATCATATGTATCGTAAGACAGATTGACATAACATCATATGTATCGCAAGAAGTCTAAATGTAACAATATTGAAAACATACATTCCAAACAGATTTTCATCTGTAATATGCAATAAGTCTAAATGTAACAATATTGAACACAACCACATCAACACCTATAGAAAGTTATTTTTCTTAAATTAGAACAAAATTATTTCACCCGACTTAACGGAGCAGCCCTATGATGAGTTCCTACACGCTCATCTCGAGCTCACTGCTTCGTGTAAACAACTTGAAAATTGTAGAAATCGTAGAAATTCATGAATTCCTAGCTCATTTTTTGATTTAACTAACATAATTTATTAGCCCAAAACAGACCTCGAACGGGTTTCTTGGCATAAATTCACTCTTTCGATATGTCTATTTTAAGCTTTTCCTAATATAAAGTTATTTTTTTAAATTAGAACAAAATTATTTCACCTGACTTAACGGAGTAGCCCTATGATGAGTTCCTACACACTCATCTCGAGCTCACTGCTTCGAGTAAACAACTTGAAAATTGTAGAAATCGTGTAAATTCATGAAGTCCTAGCCGTTTTTTGATTTAACTAACATGATTTATTCGCCCAAAACAGACCTCAAACGGGCTTCTTGGCATAAATTCACTCTTTAGATATGCCTATTTTAAACTTTTCCTAATAGAAAATTATTTTTCTTAGATTAGAACAAAATTATTTCACCTGACTTAACGGAGCAGCCCTATGATGAGTTCCTACACGCTCATCTCGAGCTCACTGTTTCGAGTAAACAACTTGAAAATTGTAGAAATCATAGAAATTCGTGAATTCCTAGCTGGTTTTTTGATTTAACTAACATAATTTATTCGCCCAAAACAGACCTCGAACGGGTTTCTTGGCATAAATTCACTCTTTCGATATGCCTATTTTAAACTTTTCCTAACACCTCAATCTTCCCATTCTCTTAGCTGATTTTGTGCTAAACCCCTTACAGAAGCTTGTAAACCACTTTCGACACTTTCGACACATTTTCTGCGCCTATGATAACTACCAAAAATGAAAAAAATGCACAAAATCGAGGTAAATATTAAACCAAGTGTGGGGAAGGAAATGAAAGTATTAGATAGCGTGAAAAAAATGTTTCCTACCTTTCTATTGTGTTTTAGAGCTCACCGTCGAGACCTCCGGCTTCCAGAACCGTTGCTGGACTCCCTGTTTGCGACCTATGCTACAATAGGGTGGAAATCCTCCGGCCAAGTGAATGAAGTGAACAAGAGGGAGAAGGGCGCATTACTTAAGGAAATCTAAAGGATCACATTCGTTGGATCTCATCTAACTGCTGCATGGGCGTGAAATTGCGTGAGGAGTCGACAGGAAACAATGCGGGAATTTGGGAGGGGTTAGGAAAATAATTAAGGTTTAAAATAAGTTAATTAAATTATAACTTTCAAATTTTACTTCTCCCAATCCGTTGATAATTTATATATAGTGCTTCATATGAAATTAATCCTTTTCATGCGTAGAATTTTATAAAAATAATTCGTTTGAATTTCTAGGGATGTGAATTTTGGGGTACTTTTAAAATTTTTCGAACTTTACTTGGTTCACAAAGTTTTGGGTGTTACAACTCTCCTCTCATTATAAAAATTTTTTCATCAAAATTTTTGATTTTACTTGAATAGAGAGGGATATTCTGTCACATTTTTTCTTTTTTTCTTATGTAGCTTAAATTTCAAGCTTGTGCTTCTAATATATCTTGAAAAAAAGAATTTGTCTGTTTCCAAGCTTCTTAATATTAGTTTCAAAATTTCTTTCAGGCTCTTTGATATAAAATAAATTTTTTTGCACTGTCAATCTCTTCATGTGAAATTTCCTGTTCTTAATTTGAAACTCATTTTCTCAACATTGAAATGTGAAACACATTGTGAATATCTGACATATATACAAGTAGCGCAATTTGTGAGCAACGTGATGGATCCTTTCCAGAATTTCAAAAAGACCAATATACCCGG